AAATGGAGATTCTGTCGGCCCAAAAGATCAAGCATTCTTCCTTAGCAAGATGCATTTCCTCCTGCTTGATCAGCTGTCTTTCTGTCAGAAAGGCAGGGCTGGTCACTATTTTCCCATATATGACAAAGGTTCAGTGCAGCCATTATCTGTTTGGGTAGGGAGTCCGGGATATGGGGAGGGCCATGCCATGTATAGTTTAGAAAAGCTGTCTCCTTCTGCACGCACTTTTAAGATTCATTTTTGTCTTTGCTTCCATTTCTTTCATTCCTATTGCTCCATGGGCAACCATGGGCACAGCCACTGGCAATATCATGATTAATTATTCTAGGAAGCCTGGATAACTTGAAGTGATTGTTATAAACATCTAAACTTGAAATCTATTTTGTTTAAAGCAAAGACTGTGTTTGCATGCACCAAGGAAAAAGCTGGTGGTAGAAATTGCTGTACAATTTGCCTCTAGACTGTAGTGGGAAATAATTCTTTTTGGGAAATAGGGTGGATCGATGTGGTTTTTCTCTCCATGTAAAGTTGCTATTGGAATAACAACTTACCGTATTTTGCAGTCCTAAAGTAATAAATAAAATATTTATGGCTTGGAATAAGTTGAGAGCATCCCATTATCTATAGTAGCAGGCATGTTCTTATTCTTTTCAAGCCTCAGGCAGAGTGACATCAGCAGATTTTTTTTTCATTTTCTAATCCGGAGCCTTCTAATTTCTTTCTGTCAAAGAACCTGCATTTTAATACTGAGCAGATCTGCAGGGACCCTTTTTGATATGACTACGTTTTGTAGCACCTCTTTTAAATTGTATTTAACTTCAGTTCTCAGAAGACAGCGTGGTGTAGTGGAAAAAACATGGGCTTAGAATTTATGTAGTGTCTTGGTTGGCTTGGAAATGAGGTCTTCGGTTCACATTCAGATTCTTGACTCATTAGTAATCTGGAATTTTCTGATGACCACACTCAGAGTTCTTCTAGCTACAGAACCAGTTCTTGTGGTGCTTCTTGGTGTGTCAAAAGGAACTCCCCGCTTAGCCTCTTTAGAGAGTATTCCTTCCATTACACTCTGCACACCCACACACCCTGGGAGCTTCTTGATCTGGTAACGTTTTTGTGCGCTTGGAATTTTTTCGTTTTTCATGCTGTACTACACCATAATGACTCTTACCCTTGCCCTTTGGTGATCATCACACTGGAGAACCATCCCCACTCATCTGTGCTTTCAGAATGCCAAATCCTCATACGAAGAATAACCTTCAGTTTCTCCTGCAGGACAAAGCATGCCTGTCTGAGCACAGTGAGTCAATCTCTCCTGTTCAAACATTTGCCACTTATTTATTAAACAAGTATTTACCAAGTACCCTGTATCTACGAGAGTGTGCCGTGGGCTGTGGATGAGAAAATGGTGAATTATCCATGATTTCAAGAAGTTTATAATCTAGGAAGGAAGATAAGTAAAGCAGTTTTTGTGTGGTGGGTTGTATTGTGCTTGGCTTTTTTTTAAAAAGGAAGGGATAAAATGATCAAATCCTTGAAGATGTAGTTTGTTGTGTCTCTTAACATGCAGTTTGCCAAGAGCAGAAGCAGCATCAAGGGGGAATGGTGGAAGATAAGGAAAACTTTTTCCTCAGTTATCTACCTGATTTTTCCTTTGACTTTCAAATGAAGTACAGGGTGATTTTGGGATTCATTTGGTGTTCTCTGTCAACTGTCCATGATCAGGGTATCTCTTCCTCCTACTTTTCACCCTACTCGTATAGATCATCATGTCCAGTCTCATTCCTTCTATTAGCAGGTAGCTAAGATTGCTATACAGAACTTAAGACTTGCATTTCCAGCTGTCACCTAGACACCTCCACCTGGGTTCTCACCCCATCTCGGATAGACAGACCCAGAACTAAGCTAAGTTTTCTCCCTCTCACCTGCACTTTTCTACTTCATTCCATCTCTGTGAATGGTACTGTCTTCTACCAATTGCTTAATGCAAGATGTGGACGCTATCTTTGACCCCTCATCTTTTCTTTAATTCCCGCCAGCCATCCCTCAAGTTTACCTCCTGAATATCTGCTGAATCTGTCCTCTTTTCTGTGTCCCCGCTGCCACAATCCTAGTTCCAGTCATCATCACCGACTATCACTGAGGGAGCCTCTGAGGTTTCACTAGATTCAGTCTTACCTCTGACCAATGCCTTCTTCACATACTGCAGCCAGAAGTAATCCCTCCAAAATGTAAACCTGGTCACATCCATTCTCTTAAAACCCATTAATGACTCCTTATGGCCCTTAGGAGAAATCCAGATTACTTAAATAGCTGAAAATGTCCATGGTGACCTGGCCTTTACCTGGCTTCTCCCATGGCGTGTGGCCTCCAGCTGTCCTGAACTACTTTCTCTTTCCTAAATTGGCCACGTTCTAGCACTTGCAGGCTTTGACATGCTATTTCTCTTGCCTAGATTCTACTCCCTATTTTTGCCTGGCTACTTTTTATTTTTCCCCTAGATCTCGGCTTCAATGTCATATCCTGTAAAAAGCCTCTAATTCTGTCAAAACTAGGTTAGATGCCCGCATTATTTGCCCCTTTTATGGATTACCTAAAAGTGAAATTGCATCATAATTGCCTGGTGAATTGTCATTGTTCCCTACTAAACTATAAACTTCACTAGGACAGGGAATGTTGGGCTTATTCACAAGCAGTCCAAGACACCCAGCACAGTGCCTGGCATATTATTTATCAAGAAACACGTTTTACTATGCCACCAATATTTACCAAGAGCTGTTCTTCTTTGCCACTTGATCCTAAAGCTTCTTCAGGGCAGGACCAAATCTATTTGTGTGCCATAGGCAGCACTTCGTGTTAAATGAGTTTGTTTCAACAACTACCTTCAGAAGCATTATTGCACCTGACCTTTTAAAAAGTATTATGTGAATATAAATTGAAAAATTTATATTAGATGAGACTATGCAATTTAAAAAATGTGCTATAAAACATACAACTAAATGAGTAATTGCCCATTGAGTATTGTCTGAAGTTTAGAAGAAAAAGCATCTGCTTAGGGACAGCCTGGCATGGGTCTGAATTCCGACTCTGCTGTTAGCAGAAAGGGGTCCTGATCCAGACCCTAAGAGAGGGTTCTTAGATCTTGCACAAGAAAGAATTCATGGCGACTCCATAGAGTAAAGTGAAAGCAAGTTTATTAAGATAGTAGGCCAGGCACAGTGACTCACACCTGTAATCCCAGCACTTTGGGAGGCCAAGGCAGGTGGATCACGAGGTCAGGAGTTCAGTTCAAGACTGGCCTGGCCAACATGGTGAAACCAATATAAAAATTAGCTGGGTGTAGTGGCGTGCACCTGTAATCCCAGCTACTCGGGAGGCTGATGCAGGAGAATCACCTGAACCTGAGAGACGGAGGTTTCAGTGAGTGGAGACAGCATCACTGCACTCCAGCCTGGGGGACAGAGCGATACTTTGCCTCGAGGAAAAAAAAAAAAAAAGAAAGTAGAAGAATAAAAGGATGACTACTCCATAGGCAGAGCAGCAGCATGGACCACTCAGGTGCTTATACTTGTTACTTCTTGCTTATATGCTATACAGGGGGTGGATTATTCATGAGTTTTTTCAGAAAAGGATGGGCAATTCCCAGAACTGAGGGTTCCTCCCCTTTTTAGACCATATAGCGTAACTTCCAGATGTTGCCATGGCATTTGTAAACTGTCATGGTGCTGGTAGGAGTGTCTTTTAGCATGCTAATGTATTCTAATGAACATATAATGAGCAGTGAGGACACCAGAGGTCACTCTCATCACCATCTTGGTTTTGGTGGATTTTGGTCCCTGTCTTTACTGCAGGCTATTTTATCAACAAGGTCTTTATGAGCTGTATTGTATGCCACCCTCCTATCTCATCCTGTGACTAGAATGCCCAAACTTCTAGAAATGCAGCCCAGTAGGTCTCAGCCTCTTTTTACACAGCCCCTACTCAAGATGGAGTCACTCTGGTTCAAACACCTCTGACACTACCACTTAGTAACTCTGTGGTTTTGGGCACGTCACTTTCCTTCTCTGAGTCTTGGCTTCCTGATCTGTAAAATGAGAATATTTTCTGTTACCTAATAATGCCTACTTTGCAAGGTTGTTACAAAGATTAAAGGTTTATGAAAACAACTGCCATAGTACTTGGTACAGGGTAGTTGCTCTATGTTATGTTTTGTCTTTTATTCTGACAATGCTGACATTACTGAAACATTTTTGGAATTTCTTTGTTGAGATAGTTTTCAGAGCTTGCTATAGATCATCAGACTATCTCAATGGGAGAAATCTTTTTTCTTTGAGGATGTGTTTGATTTTTAGGAATAGTCAGGTTCAGATAGCAAGATCAAGATGGTTAACACCGTTTTTGATATTAAACAAAGTTAAGTATGAATTGTTTTTTGAGACAGTTTCACTCTTGTTGCCCAGGCTGGAGTTCAATGGCATGATCTCGGCTCATTGCAACCTCTGCTTCCTGGCTTCAAGCGATTCTCCTGCCTTAGCCTCCCAAGTAGCTGGAATTATAGGCATGTGCCACCACGCCTGGATAATTTTGTATTTTTAGTAGAGACAAGGTATCACCATGTTGGTCAAGCTGGTCTCGAACTCCCGACCTCAGGTGATCCACCCACCTCGGCATCCCACAGTGCTGGGATTACAGGCGTGAGCCACCGTGCCTGGCTCAAAGTTAAGTGTGATTATAATGAGATTTTCTTTTGTAATATCAAAATTGGTACATATTCTGGCTCTCTCACAGGTGGCATTGACAGGATATTCCATTTGGCACATTAAATTCAGGGAATTAACAATCACAAAATCTTTTGATTTTGAATAGCATTCTGATAAATTAATCAGAATTAATAAACTCAGAAGAGCTGAAATCTTTAATAATATATTTAATCACAAGCTAGTGATCAGAATTTTATTTCTAGCAACAAAGAACTTAGGGGAAAAAATGATCTAAGGTGCTACCCCATATTCTTGTGCATATTCGGGGCTATTGTCTTTTCAGGTAGGTCCACGGAAATCAGTGTGGCCGAGCTGTGGCAAGGGTGGTGTTCTTTCCTAATGACCCAGAGGAGCCTGTTGCCTTTCGGAGACCTGTCCTTCATGGTAGAGGAGGAGCCTGGAAATGGGCAGGATATAGAGATGGGATTGCAGCTTTTACAGAAGCATAGAGGGCTTGTGCAGAAAAATCCACAGGCTGAGTTTGTAGGAGAGATTGGAGGTACAAGGTAATTAGTCTACTAAAGGAAAGCATTGAAAGCGGGGGCCGGGGGGACCACAGTCCGGAGAGGCTGGACGCTGCCTTCCTAGGGCCCTGTGCAAGTTGAACTAGGGGTCAGCACAGTCCAGGGGGAGGGTCAGTGACAATGCCCAGGTTACTATGAGGAACCTCTTATTATTTTGTTATCCAGAGGTTACTGTGGGTTCAGTGTTTTACCTCTTCATTGTATATAAGGTCGTAAATGCAAATTATCCAGTAAGCTGTAAGGAGTTAGTGACATGTTAATTATTTTCAAGAATTTTGCTAGTTTGTACCCTGAATTTACCTCATCTTGTAGTGTATTTTTGTTGTCGTTACTGATGTTAGAATGATTCAGTGAGAGCATTTGATGGGGAGGGACACAAGAAGAAAGGGAAACATGAATATGTGTTATTTCCTGTGGGGAGTCATTAAAAAAACAGTATTTGTGAATACTGGGTGCGGAGGGAGAGAAGGTTGCACAATGCCCTTTGCCACCTGGGCTTAGGGGAGCAGAGTCACTTAAGCCAATGGGGACTGGGCTGACTTGTGCTGGATTTCACAAGGGGTGAGGTTCCTCAAAATCTTTGTTATTGAACAACATCAGCTTTTGGGGTACTGATGTCATTTATCATTTCAGTAAAACATGGTTCTTAGGTTTTTGTTTGTTTGTTTTTTGAGACAGAATCTCTCTCTATAGCCCAGGCTGGAGTGCCATGGTGCGATCTCCACTCACTGCAGCCTCAGCCTCCCAGGTTCAAGCGATTCTCCTGCCTCAGCTTCCCGAGTAGCTGGGATTACAGGCCTGCACCAGCACGCCTGTCTAATTTTTGTATTTTTAGTAGAGATGGGATCTCACCATCTTGGCCAGGCTGGTCACGAACTCCTGACCTCAAGTGATGCGCCCACCTTGGCCTCCCAAAGTGCCAAGATTACAGGCCTGAGCCACTGCGCCCTGTTGGTTCTTAGGTTTGAGATTTCAGATTCACAGCATCCATACTTCCTTGTGGATGGTGTTCCCTTAGTGAAGCCGCCTGCTTTATGAAGTTCAGGGGTTGTTCTGCAGCCTGGTTATGGAATCACGGAGCAGAAGCCTTTGACAGCAACTATGGCAAAAAGTAAAGCTTGCTTATTCCTTTTCATTCACTGTAAGTGTCAAAATCCCATTTGAATTACTGTAAAAATGCAAAATTTAAAGTTTTCAATGTTATTTAAAAAAGTCTAGAAAGAGGATATAAGCAAAATAATTTTTTTTTCAAGTTTTTCTATAAATTGGTTATTGTTCATCTTCTCTGGGTATTTGATTTCTTAACTGTTGTTAACCAATTTGAAGTTACTATCTTAGCAGTGCCAGCAATGTGCATTAGCATTAGCACAAGCTCTTAGATGAAGATTCTGGAGCCCCATAGGTGACTGGAGCCATTTAAAATGCTTTTATGGTAGAAACATATTTTAGAGACCTTAATGTTAAATAGGTGATCATATTCTGACAGAATGCTTTCATTTTTGGAAGCCAAAATTTTGCCTCATGACAAAATTCTCCATTTATGATCTCTTTTAGTGTCTGATGGTGACATAAAAAATAAGTGATTTAGATAAAACAGTAGCAGAAGAAAGTAAACATCAAATTTACTTGTGCAAATGACCTAATTTCCACTGGGTACGAAAAATGGAGGATATGTATATTAGTTTTCTATTGTTACCTTAACAAATTGCCACAAACTTAGTGGTTCAACACACCACAAATTTCTTGTCTTGCATTCTGTGAATTAGAAGCCCAAAGCAGCTCTCACTGGGCTAAGACAAAGTGTGGCAAGGTCTGTGTTCCTTGTGGAGGCCCTAGGGGAGAATCCTTTTGCTTTTCCAGCTTCTAGAGGCCACCACATTCCTTGACTGTCTTCACAGCCTTCTTGCATCACAGCTGGCAAGGTTGCATTTTTCTGACCATTCTTCCATGATCGCATCTGCCTCTGATCAGAACCGGGAAACTTTCTGGTTTGAGACCTTTGTGGTTAGATTGGGCCCATCTGGATGATCTAGGACAATCTCCCATGTCAGGGTCCTAAGTTTAATCAGGTCTGTAAAATCCCTCTTGCCATGTAAAGTAACATACCCTCAAGTTGTGAGGATTCGGATGTGGAAATTTTGGGGGGATGCGGCATGATTCTGGTTACCATAATATGGAAATATTTAACACAAACTTCTATTCAGAGGATGTATTTTTTAAATGTGCTGATAACTTGTTATCAGGTTATTTCGTTTGTTTGTTTTTTCAGACGGAGTCTCACTCTGTCGCCCAGGCTGGAGTGCAATGGCATGATCTCAGCTCACTGCAACCTCCGCCTCCCAGGTTCAAGCGATTCTCCTGCCTCAGCCTCCCAAGTAGCTGGGATTATAGGTGCCCACCACCATGCCTGGCTGATTTTTGTAGTTTTAGTAGAGAGGAGGTTTCACCATGTTGGCCAGGGCTGGTCTTGAACTCTTGACCTCAGGTGAACTGCCCACCCACTTTCACTAGGGTGTTTTTAGAGAAGAGGTGCATATATTAAAAAATAAAAAAGCTCACAAATTTTGTTTGGATCATAATCTATTGTTAAAGCTAATGATTATTCTCTTTTGCTTACTTTGATAGTGATAACCTACTAAGGAGAGCAGCCTGTCAAGAAGCTCAGGTAATACTATTTAATGTGATAAAATTAAACCCCTCCTTATCTTCATTGTGCAGAAAACTGAAGCTCTTTCAGGGGACTTGCACAGTGTCTTGCATCTGTGCAGTTTGGCTATTTTTTAGCACTATCAGGATGAATCACGCTGGGAGCCAACTCTGAGTAGAACTCCAGGAAGTTAACCATCTGGTGAAGAGCAGTTCTGACGCCCACCCCTGTAGACTGTTTGTTTCTGGATTGGTCCTGGGAACACAAAGCTGGACTGGTAGAAGCTCTGGGAATTTGTTTGTGTCTGCAGTTGTCTTTGTAGATCTGGCTAACCCCTGAATCATCCCTGATCCGAATAACCCCCAAGAATATCAGTTCAGAACAAGTGTTACCTCTAAAAGTCAAATCTTCTTAAAATTGTTGATTCATATTTTTAAAGTCCATCTTCAAGCTCAACTGGTCCATATCATGTACACTCTTACGTTCCATGAGATTTTACTTAAATATTCATTTATATGGCTAATTAATTATAGCTGGATTATAAATCCTTTCAAATTTAAGGCCACTTTTTTGCTCCCCACTGCAAAAATGTACATTATACTTTGCTGATGAAATTCTGTGACTGAGTTGCCTTTTTGTTTTGTATCATTTGAGCTTATGATGTCAGAAATACCAAAATAGAAACATGAAAATCAAAAGTGGCAAGTGTATGAAGCATTTAGTAATAGAAGTAGGTGGCAGACCTCATGTGTGTTTCTGAAATGTTTTAATGGATGACAGTGACAATAGATACTATAAATTAATTCCTCTCTTTGATTGTTACAATAGATATTATAAATTCCTCTCCTTAGCAGTTGTTACAGTAGATACTATAATTCCCCTTTTTAGCGATTGTTATCTGGCTGTTCTAAATCTGTGTTTTAAGAATTTGATTACTTCTTTGTTTAAATTTATTATCTTTCATATGGCTCTAAGTTGTTTTAGAAATCAATTCAAATAAACTTTAATATTAAATTAAAGGTGATCCCCGTCCCAAGCCAATCATTAGCAACTGGAAAATCCTCCTGGAGTACAGTGGTGTGATGTTGGCTCACTGTAGCCTCTGCCTCCTGGGTTCAAGCGATTCTCCTGCCTCAGCCTCTCAAGTAGCTGGGACTACAGGTGCACACCACCACGCCCAGCTAATTTTTGTATTTTTAGTAGAGATGGGGTTTCACCGTGTTGGCCAGGATGGTCTCGATCTCAACCTCGTGATCCACCTGCCTTGGTCTCCCAAAGTGCTGGGATTACAGGCGTGAGCCACTGTGCCCGACCCCTTTCTTTCACTCTTTAAGGAAGAGTAGACCTGTGTGATTGTAGGACCCTCCCTTTCTTGTTGAAGGTAAATGCCTCCACCTCTGTTCTAAATCCTCTCTCCTCATACGTTTTCAGGGATGATGTTCCTTTAGTTATTTTCTCCTTCTCGTGTCCTTCTCTTTTCTTTTCTTTCCTTTCTCTTTCCTTTCCCTTTCCTTTCCTTTCCCTTCCCTTTCCCTTTCCTTTCCCTTCCCTTTCCCTTCCCTTTCCCTTCCCTTTCCCTTCCCTTTCCCTTCCCTTTCCCTTTCCCTTTCCCTTTCCCTTTCCTTTCCCTTCCTTTTTCCTTTCCTTTGAGTCTCATTCTTTTGCCCAGGCTGGAGTGCAATGGCACAATCTCAGCTCACTGCAACCTCTGCCTCCCGGGTTCAAGCAATTCTCCTACCTCAGCCTCCTAAGTAGCTGGGATTACAGGCACATCCCACCATGTCTGGCTAATTTTTGTATTTTTAGTAGAGACGGGGTTTCACCATGTTGGTCAGGCTGGTCTTGAACTCCTGACCTTGGGATCCATCTGCCTTGGCCTCCCAAAGTGCTACAGTTACAGGTGTGAGCCACCACGCTGGCCTTATTTCTTTCTACTATTCTAATTCTCCACTTCCCCTGCATGTTTAGTTCCTTCCATCTCACAAATGGAAGTGGATTTGTCCTTATAGCCTCTGCTGGCTAATTTTCCTATCTGTGTACTTCCTTTTACAGTCTAAATTCTTGAAAATATGATATTTAAAAACAAATTTCACATAAACTTAAAGTAGTCTCACATAAACTCCTTAGCTCACTGTGAATGTCTAAATAAGAATGAAAACAGAATAGAAATTATAATGTTCCAGAAACTTCTTACAAAGAAATAGTCTTTTTC